AGAAATTAGCATGAAAATAAATTTGAGACATAAATATGACACCAAACTGAGATGAACTGCATCTCCTCATACCCCCGAGTGACCCGAGAGCTTGGGGATGGGCCCTATGTGACTAGAACAGGAGATTCAACCTAGCGTTGCTGAAAGGCAGTGACGAAAGAGAGGAGGAACAAAACCATCTCTTCTCGTGGTCCACTAGGCTCAGGCTGTTCCATAACCCTGCCACAGGAGCCCGTGGGCTGTGGGACTGTCATCTCCTGGCAAGGGAAAAGCCACCTGGGTCTATCTTCTCCCATGTCCCGAGATCAGGGGTTCTACGCTCTCCCATTCCTCCCCTCTGCCATCCTCAGTACCCACAGTCACCTCCTCATGGTCACAAGAGAGCTGCCACAGCCCCAAACATCACACGTAGCCACTGCCATGGACAAGTTCAGGTAAAGCAGAGGGCCCTGCCTCCCCTCATTGAGGAGGCGCTCTTCCTGGAAACCCTGAGTAATCATGCATCTCGTACCCTAACCTAATCCAGTCTTTAGAAAGGTGCTTGAGGCCACTATCACTGGCTTGGGCTTGGGGATATTACTGATAAAGAGTCCACCCTTGGTCAACGAAGAGTTGGGATGGCCCCTGATTGGATCACCCACGTTGCCTGCCACAGTCGTGCACATGGTACCTTCTGGATTGGGAGGCTGGGGGTGGCAGGCGCCATGTGAAACAGACCGACTAGAAATCAGGGGTACCACTCTCACCGTCCTTGGGTCGGTGCCAACTCATGGCGACCCTGTAGGACGGGGTAGAGCCGACTCCATTGGTTTCTGAGAGTGTAACCTTTATGGGAGTCGAAAGCCCTGTCTTTCTCTAGTGGAAGTGGCTGGGGGTTTTGAACTACTGACTTTTCAGATCACAACCCAGTCCTTAACCACTACACCATCAGGACTCCTAGGGGCACTCCTAGGCTGCATGAATGGGAGCATGGCATCCACAGCAAGGAAGGGTAGAGTCACCCGTCCTGGCCTGGTTGGGCTCCGTGTAGTACGGCAAGCTACGAGGGCCAGGCAAACGGAAGCTCTTCAGCAGAATGGAGGCATTTGAACTGCAGAAGACGCAGAGGCACCAGTCAACGCGGGCCGCCATCATGAACTGTGGAGAACAGTGCCTGCGAAGGAGGGGCGTCCTCCAGCTGGCAGAGGAGGAAAAGGACTGTCTCAGAGAGCGGGTGCCCTGCAGGTCAGGGCTGTGCAGGCGGTGCAGCCTCAGACACCCCATGCACCCTGTGCCTGTCCCTGTGAGTTTCTGATGCTGTTATTCTTTATGGGGGTTAAAAGCCTGCCCTTTTCCTGTGGAGCCACTGGTGGTTTTGAACGGCTGACCTTGCGGTTAGCAGCCCACACATCACCACTACACCACCCGGCTCTTCTTACTCGTCACACAGGAGCATGTGTAGGAGAGTTCTGTAATTGGAAAACGCTGTCCATGTGGATTCTTGGTGGTTCACTGGCCAGAGGAGATCACAGAGGTCAATCCTACCACAGCCCCTGCCTGTAAGTACTGCACCTGTCCCCGCTCCCACCCCTCATGGCCCTCTGATGGCAAACAGGGAGGCTGAGGGGCAGGGTGGTGGTGGATGAGTCTCCCGGTTTGTCCAGATGCGGATGTGGGAAATTTCCAGTATCAGAATGACTCAACTCCTGAGATTAACAACTTTCTTCTGAGAGCAGAGTCAGAGAAGGTCGGGCCTTCTCTCCCTCTCTCCCTCACTGTGCATGTGGTTGAGGGGGGTGGTAGGAAGTTAGGATATTTGGATACTAACCTTGGCTACAGCATTATCTTGCTTTATGACCTTGAGCAAGCCACTTCCTTTCTGAAAACCAAATTTCTTCTTCTGAGAGAGAGAGAGAGGAGAGAGAGAAAGAGGAGAGAGAGAGAGAGCTGGCTCACGATCTAAAGGAGTGAGTGCGCACACGCACGTAGGTTTCATCACAGTCGTTGACGAAAGGTTACGGAAGTGCTCAAGGCCTGTGGCTCCATTGTCACAGCTCCTGCTCAGCTGGGCCAGGGGCGGGCATTCAGGACTGTACCCACTGAGGATACAGCATCCCTTAGCCTTTGAACCTGCTCCCAGCTTTGGGTTTGGGGCATGGCAGGGCACTAGCTTTTTGTTGCCCAGTGGCGATGGTGAGGCGTGCCCTGGGGTAGGGGGTCGTGGGCCCACTGTGGGCAGTTGCTCTTTCCTCTGGTAACACATCATCAGGAAGAAATCTTTCCCTGGCTCTGGTTAACCCAGCCCCGCTCTCGGTTTCTTGGCTGAAGTTGAGGGGAGCCTGCTGGCCTCAGGGAGGGGGTGGGGGCAGGCTGAGCCTGTAGAGAGACACAAGTGGTCCCAGATATGGGAGTGAGTGGACCTGGGGTGCATAGGGTTTCTTAGCTCTAGGGAATTCTGTTCATGTGAAAGGTGATATTTTAAGGTTACAGTTCTGTATACAAAGTGACCCTGTGATTGTTAGCTAGGTAACTTTTACCCAACCTGTGCAGGAGACATGGGACATCCCAGAGGCAGCGCACAGCGATGTGGGTAAGAACGTCTGCTTCAGAGCCATCAGACCTGGGTTCAAATCCCAGCTCAGCTGCCAATTCTCTCTGCCTGATTGCAGGCAAGCCAGCTGTTCTCAGCCGAGGTTTCAGCAGATACTCTTCGCAGCGAAGAAGTAGTTTGCATTATTATGGTCTTCCATCACAGAAGGACTAAGCTCCGTTTATAATTGAATGCGGGAGGGAGGCATCTGGCTTCTCTCTTCATCAGACAAGGAGCGTGCCAGAGATCAGCGCTTCCCAAAGTGTGCGTCCTGGCGCGGTGGAACCCAAGCCATGAAAGGATGCCCTGCACACGCCGAGGCTGGCGTGGGGGCTGCGTGTCCGGGCCATTCTGAGTGAGCAAAGATGAGCAGTGGTCTGCGACAGGCCGCTTCAGAACCCTCATTAAGCTCAGGTGCTCCGTGAAGCTCCAAATGCACTTGACCAAGGAATCATTTCCCCTGAAGTGTAAGCGGGGCCAAGTTTGGGGAGCAGTGGCCATGACAGCCCTTGGCTCTGGGCAGGCTTCTGTGGTCACATGATGCTCAGTGCCTCCTCGCCATGCCAGCTCCGGTTCTTGGTAGGTTTCACCCCACACGGTCGCTGGCTGCGGTTCCGTGTGTCTATTTCTGATTTGCTTGTGTCTGTGTCTTTCATCGCGGGCGACCTCGGTGGGGCGCTGTGTCGAAGTGAGGAGGGTGGGAACGCGTTTACTTGCCTCTAGGACCTCGGACAATGCTGAGCGCTTAGGCGTGCTGGGCAGGGGCTGGGCTGCCATTCAAGGCTGTCCCTATCCCCACCCTCACCCCCCATCCCCGGCCCCCCAGGAAGACCGGGATAAACACGGCCGGTGGGACTTCCTTTCTGTTGTTTGTGATTGTTTGGCCCAGGCGATGAAGAAAGGAAGGCAAAGGCTAGCAGGGTGACGTCCTGAAAGGACTGCTTTGAGAAGGGAGCAGTCCCCTTATCCCGACCATGGGGGACCTCGGAAATAAAACGGTTCCTGCAGTCGCTGCCTTTGGTGGTTCTAAGAAAGACCGAGGCAGCCGGGCGGCTGGGCAGTGGGCTCCGGTTTCGGAGGTGGCCTCAGGGTGGGTGAGCCAAGGAACCTACCACCCAGCCACACTGCAGCCGCCCTGAGGGTTGAAGGGAGGTGAGAACCACAGCACCACAGGTTGGCTGGGTCCTGTCCCTTGGGGGACGCGCACGTGCTTTGCAGTCTGCATTCTCCATAAGAAGCTTTCTGTCTGCCCTCTTCAATTGGAGCATGAGAGTGATGGAGAAGGGCGAGGACCGCCCGTTATCCCTCTAGGGCAGCGGTTCTCAACCTTCCTCAGGCCGCGATCCTTTCATACAGCTCCTCATGTGGTGGTGACCCCTCAACCAGAACATTATTTTCGTTGCTACTTCATCACTGTCATTTTGCTACTGTGATGAATCGGGCGACCCCTGTGAAAGGATCGTTTGACCCCCAAAGGGGTCGCGACCCACAGGTTGAGAACTGCTGCTTTAGTGTATGTCAGTCTGCACACCTCCCTCCCTGCCGTCCAGCTGGTCCCCACCCCTAGAGACCCTACAGGACAGGGTAGAACTGCCCCGGTGGGTTTCCAGGTTGTAACTCTTTATGGGAGTAGAAAGCCCCTTCGTTCTCCCGTGGAGCAGCTGTTGTTTTTGAACTCCTGATCTTTTAGTTCCCAATCCAAACACATAACCACCAGGCCACCAGATATTGATTTAAAAAAATACAGTGGTGTAGAAAACGACAGCGTGCACTGCATGGTGAAGGGCTACGTACTATTTCACGAGTCATAGCTATCCAGGCAGGCGGACAGAGAGCTGAAGGTGGGGTCACAGTGCAAAATGCATTCCGTGAAATCCGGAAGCCACGGGGCAGCCGACTCTGTGGCTGCTGGGCAGGCCTCAGACCGACTGACCAGGTCAGCCTTCTCCCCAGGTTGGAGGTGTCATTTCAGACCCAGAGGACAGTGTGCCCTGAAGAGAGGTGTTTGATGACCTGCCCCCTTGGAAGATGACCTTTCTGTGCCGGGAGGAGAAGGGCACCCTGACTCCTGGCTGGGAAGGAGGCAGGACCTGCCAAGTTGGGTGTGTGTGTGTGTGTGTGTGTCTGGTCCACTCCATAGGCTGTGTGAGGGCAGGAGCGGCCCGGACGAGGGGTGCTGCTCAGCAATCAGCCCAGGCTTACTCCCTGCGGCCTGAGCCTCAGCTCACTCACCGGCAAGGAGAGGATCAGACCGAGGGGTTTCCAAGGTTTCTGTGCGCCCTGACGGGCTGTCCCAGGGTACTGCAGAAGGGAAGCCCAGGAGGCCCACCTGGCTTCTCTCCTCAGACCCCGCCAAAGCCCAGGGCCCGGAGTGCCACCATGGTCAAAGCCGGTCCAGGGTGTGCGGTGACAGAGGCAGCTGGAGTCCGAGCCTGGTCTCCATGGACAGTATTTATTAGGCGACGTTCTCAGTGTGAAGACAGATAGGCAGGGGGAGCTGTGGCAGCCACAGCCCTTGGAATCCGGGGGCTGCCCAGGGTGTGAGTGTGGGGGTGGGGGCTCGTCACCCCCACATATTGCATATTTTGTGGCAGTGTGCCCAGGCATAAGGCATTGGGGAAGCAGAAAGGCTGCCTGCAGGGGGAGGGGAGGGAGGAGGGGAAGCGGCATTGCCTTCTGGTTCCTTAGGAAAGAGCCAGCCTGAGAAAGAGCAGCGGGCGACACTCGCAGGCCCGTCCCCTCTCCCTCCTCACCTCTCCCATGGCGACTTTGGTTGTGGCTCCCTCGGGACTGGCTGGACAGGATCCCTCGAGGGCAGGGTCACACAGAGGACAGGAGCAGTTATCATGGCCCTCCCTACAACATACATAGACAGGGCATCCCACCCCCTGAGCCCCACTTTCCTGGAGCCCTTGGTGAGTCTGCTGCCCCACACTGCGACTGGACACCCACACAGGTCGGCCAGACCTTTTTTTCCTCTGGGCTGCCAGCGGCCAGGGGCCATGACTGGGCGGAGCTTGAGACTGGCCACCCCGTGGACCCCAGAGCTCCTTCCCCTTGCTGGACAGTGCTGAGGAGCTGACATGGACAGCGTGGGAAGACAGGGTGATGGGAGGAGAGGCCCCCCGCCCACTCCCTCTGGGTGCTATCCTGAGTCACTGTGCCAGCGCAGGATGGGTCCTGACCATGGAGCTTAGGGTGTCGTGTCTCTCCCTGGGATTTCGGCTTTGTAGGTGGTTCGGACTGTGGGCACACTAGGTCCAAGGCCCCCACCAGGGAGGAGGTGCTCTTTGCTGCCGCAGCAGGTTAGCTCTCTAGGTTCTTGGGACACAGGCACCAACGATGGTTGTGGGGCCAGGGATAAAGCCCCAGGAGGATGGATGGACAGGGCGGCCACAACAATAGGCTCAAACGTATCAACGAGTGTGAGAATGGTGCAGGACTGGGCAGTGCTTGGTTCTACTGTCACGATGAGTCAGAACTGACTTGATGGCACCTTACAATGACAAACAACAGGGCATCGAATCCTGCCCCCCGCCCCCACCACCCCTGGGACTCTTGGGGGGAGAGGTCTGTGATCTGCTTTTATAAAGAGTACAGCCAAGAATACCTTTGTTCTACTGTGTCACATGTGGTCCCTTAGAGTTGAGGTGACTCAATAACAGGATATGCCTGTTAGCTCTCTTGGCTGCTTTAGCCCAATTCCCAGACTCCTGGAGCCCTAAATCTTGACCTTTCTTCTGAGAGACAAGGGCCTGTCTTGCCTTAGGGATTCATTCGGGGCCAAGAATAGAGCAGGCAGGACCCCTGATCTTGGGCCTCTGGTTCTGGCTTAAGACTTGATTGCCTACCCACTGCCCAGTGGTAGGCATGGCAGGAGCTGTGCTCGCAAGAGCACTTAGACTGGGAAGATGCAGCCTGGACTTTTGCTCTCCATTGCCTTCCGTCACCTTGGACAAATGCCTCCGCCCGTCTGGGCTTCAGGGTTCTCATCTGTAGCATGGGAATGAGACTGATTCCTCTGTTAGCCTAACAGGGGGGTGGGGGCTCATAAGAATCAAAGGGACGTGTAGCCAGGAGAGGGTTTTCAGAGGCTCAATCACTGCTTGTAGGAGATGGGGGCTCTTAGCAGTGGCCCTAATGGGTAAGTCTGGGGTTTTCTGTTCTAGACTCTGAGGGCAGGGTCCTCAAGGTTGGCCCACCCCACCCCTCCCTCATGAGCCTGTTAACTGGAGGTCAGTTAACCTCTCACAACTTGGGCCACCCTGCAGCCTGGGAAGCCACTGCCTCCTCTGCTCTTCCAGCGCCCGTCTGTCCTTCCGAGTGTGTCCTGCCCTCCGGGGACTAGCTTCAAGCACTGATAGGTTTCTACACTGCAAAGCCATGCAAAATGAACACAGAAGGGAGTGGGAGGCTAAGAGACAACAGCTGGGTTATGGGGAGGGGATGTGGGATGGAGGGGTTGACCTGGACAAAGACCCCCTGGCTTGGAGGGCTAAGGGGAGGTGGGAGACCTGGCAGGATAGAGTTATAAATAGAGATGCAAATGTACACAGAACATGAAGCCCTCCTCCGGAGGTTGGGGTGTCTGGGGACCAGCAGGGCCTCTGAGGACTGGGGATCCCCTTAGATTTTCCAAGCGTTAGGGGAGCCTCCCAGTTTCTGCCTTCCTGGCCCCTGACCCCCAAAGTTTCACATTTCTCAGAATTTGCAGCGTGGGGATGGGGGCTCAGGGGTCCCTCAGAGCCCAGGTTCCTGCCGGCTGGTGCTAGCAGGCACAGTTGGAGATAAGGGTGGTGGTGGTCAGGGCCCGCTCCTTGGGGCCCAAGGCTGCGGGGCAGGCCTCTCTGAGGAGGGCAGGAGTCCCGGGGGTGGGGTGGGTGGGGGGTGTCCCAGCGCGACCCGGCGATGCTCCCCGTGCGCCAGGCCCAGGGTGGGGGTGGGGGACGGTGGGTCACACGGAGCTCCGGCGCTTCATGAGGCCGCGGAAGGTGGACAGACTGTGCAGGCCCGTGGACACGGAGCTGATGGCAGAGCGCGGCGCGGCGCTGCAGAGGCAGCGGTGCGAGGGGGTGTCGCTGTAGCGGCCGCCCCCACCCGGCGACGAGTGGCTCTGCTCCACGCACGTGTCGGACGTGGAGAGGTCCCGCGGGATGATCATGGGGATGGAGTACTGCAGCTTCTCGCGGCTCTTGTACCACAGGCACGAGCACATGGACTGGAAGTGCAGCACCTCCGCGTACACGTTGCGGAAGCCGCCG